GCTATTTTCAATAGAARTTTTTCTATCAGAATCTAGAAGATGCTTCAATGTATCACAAATGTTGTTGTCTCAAAAATTCAGAGAACTCGTTCAAATTGTTACTTTATTGGGAACACATCCAACCCCCCTTTTTCATGAGCACATTATCGACCTAACTATGCTATGTATGTCCAGCATATAGCAAAATGCTTGGCCCCTATACCTAGACAATATACGACGACCTCGTGTTTGTAAAGTTTATAACTGTCCGAACTTTGTTCGCACTATCCTACCATAAAGCGGTAGAATGGCCTTGAAAAGTTCGTTTTACTGTAAGCTTTGCAACGGATATCGACTTACTGGGAAAAACGAAGCAGGAAATATTCTGTACTTCCTTAAACTCAGCTTGTCAAGTCCATTCAGACTTACGGCAGAGTTCTCGTTGCTTACCAAGTCGATACTCATGCCGCGCAAAGATATTTTTCTCTGTGTTCACCGCAAGGACCTGTTTAGCGCCAATGCCTTCCCGTAAAGTGATAAAAAACAGGTCTCCAGAAAAGTTACCACTCGTTGTGCAATGGAAAGAACATTTTAAGTGCAAAGCACAAAAGTTACTTCGGGTAGACAACCGCTTTTCGCGGACACATGCAGGAATTGAGAGGAAGGGCGTCGTTTCGCGTCACATTTAAAGTATATGTATTCAGTCGATATAACATCGGTTTGCAGTTCTCCAATCAAAGCGCTCAAAAGTTTGACGAGTTTGTTAAAACTTTTCTCGATTTTATTCGGAAAGGAGTCGTACAATAGTCCAAGTCTTTGTAACAATGTTCATCGACTTTTGCAGGAACGCCTGGCTCTAATTGAAGGCAACTTTCTACGAATTTTGGGACTTTTTTCTTAGAAAAATTTCAATTAAAATTGTTACGTTAGACTGTCGTTAATAGACACTGTGTTGTTGTGCTAACTTGTCCTTTAATATCACAATCGGACTAACACATACAAACAATGGTGAACTCTCCAACTACACAGGTATCCCGATACTGTAAATACCGTTACAAAAATACAACTAAAAAGCTTCAATTTTTATACAGACAGCTGAAGAAGTTTTTTATAAAAATGAATATGTAAATTTATATGAGACACAGTTGAGTTTGAAGAACTTTTTCGCGACAATTTGAAACTGAGTAGGTCGGAGGCGCCATCTTTGATTTGCCAGTGCCGATTTGTGTTGAATATTTCGTTTCTTAATATTTCTTCTTGTTTCTTCTTACGATGGAAATAGAGAAATATGAATATTCGATCTAATTAGCCTGAAAACCAGATGTGTTGCGTTCATTATAAATGATGTATTCTGCCAATTCTCCCTTTCTAGTTGATCATTGCTGTAAATAATTTTTTTCTGTTTCATTGCGTTTTCATAGATATTTTCCAAATATCTTTGGGCCTAATGAGGACCAACCTCTGGACAAAGAAGGAGCATTGGAAGCCTTTACGAAGTTTACTCAAGAGGTAGAGAAACAATTGAAGAAAAAGTTTATTAAATTTTATTCAATATAATGAGATTTATTTATGAATGTTTTTGCAAGGGTAGTCATCAACTGTAATTACTTTTGTTGTCAGGTAAATGATTATATTGCAAGCCAGCCTGATGGAAAAGACAAAAAGCCCTACACTGTTATGGACTTGGCTCTGGGATTTGTGCAAGTTGCAAACGAAAGCATGTGTCGACCTATCAGAAATCTCACAGAGGCACAAGGTCACGATACATCCAAGCATGTACTTGCTTGCTTTGGTGGTGCAGGTGGACAACATGCATGTGCTATGGCACGCTCCTTGGGAATGTCGACAGTATTTGTACACAGGTATGATTTATTATTGATTTATTATTTAATTAATTAATGCCAATGATACTGGGATGAAACTCCTGATGAATGTGCCCCTGACTTTAGTGCCTAGTACCCAGTCCCTACTCMCTAGTCCTAGTCCCAGTCCCTTTTCCTAGTCCCTAGTCTCTAGTGGTCAATGTGAAAGGAAAGGAAGCCCAASAAGGAAAACAAGTCCAAAAAKAGTTGCTATGTTGACTCCATGTTGATCTTSAATAATGATAACTTAGATAATATTCAACAGATATGCTGGTATMTTGTCTGCATATGGTATTGCGCTTGCTGACATTGTTCATGAGGCACAAGAACCTTGCACCCATCCATATGAACCAGGTAAAACCAATGTCAAAWAAATCGTTTTGCCTATATKTTATCGTTAGTACAGTTAAGGGACTGTTCGTTTATTATGTCTCAGGGAKRGRTGGTGTTTTTATGTATGGGGTACAATTTTAAAAATGTCTTTTTCAGAGAGGGTATGTTTTTTTTYAAAGGATGTCTTATTAAGCGGGGAGTATGAATCACTTACAATAATTTACCACATTCCGCTTATTCACTTGTTTTTATCTACTCACACAAGAAGTCTCCTTCAGAATCATTTCAGTATTTGGATGAAAGAATTGACATGCTGAAAGAGAGATGTAGAGAGGAACTAATAAGAGAAGGACTTAGCAAGTAAGTGTTGATAGAAGTTAATAGTCATCTTCACCATTGACAAAAAATGCATAACTTTCTTTTTTTCCTTGTTTTTCAGAGACTGCATCTCCACTGAAGTGTTCCTGAACTTGCGCTATGACAGAACAGACTGTGCACTGATGTGTAATGCCATCGAAGACAAATCCAAGGTGTGAATAATTATGGCACCTTTTTCACCAGGGCAAAATACACCCTTCAACTTGTGCTAAATGTATTGAGTTATTGAAAAATATGGAAAAAATTATTTCCCTAAAATTTTTTTCCTTTCTTCTCACAGAATTCATGTCGTCATGGAAATTTTGAGAAATCATTTCTTGAAAGGTATTATCTCAATAATATTGATGATGATGATAATGATGATGATTTTAAATCATGGTTGTATGTAAATTCAGATATCAACGTGAGTTTGGTTTTGACATTCCTGGACGTAAGATTTATGTCGATGATATTCGAGTCAGAGGTGTTGGCAAATCATCTGTCAATATTAGAGGACCAGATAACAATCCTAGTGGACCACCTAAGCCAAAAAAGGTATTTTCTACTTCTGCCTTCCCTTTTCTCTCTTCGCTCTTCCCTCCTCCCTCCCCTCCTCCCATCCTCTCCTTTTTTCCAGTTCTTCTCTTAATTTGCACAATAGCTCTAAAGAAGAGTGCCTACCTCCTTCACTAGAGACCCTATACAAGATTGAATGCACTTGTTACCTTAGGCTGTTTGCTTTTAAATTCTATGCAAAGAAGTAGCTTCCTCTTTTAAAATGGCGCAGGAACTTACAAGGAGACTTTGATAAGGTGTTGAGACACTAAAGCATGTGGTACACTCAAAGATCATAATATTAAGAGCACGCATTTAGTTATTTCGTTAAATTATTGATTAATAACTTGACTTGTTCCAAGGTTACTCAGTGTTATTTTGAAGATGGTTTAGAGGATACATCAGTGTATTTTCTTGAAGAGATTGCAAGTGGTTACGATATACAAGGACCTGCAATTATCATTGATAAAACAAGGTATCTGCATTTCTACCTAGGGTTACTCGAYCCCAACTTGGGTGGGAGTGTGCCRCACAACCCGTGATCAAAAACCCCTACCCTATCCCAGACCAATTTTTGTGATTTTACATACCCTACCCCAGACTAAAGGTACAAAGGTACATTATHTWAGCGCTGAAAGYGTGGYCTAGCAGATACRATCACAGGCAAAACTCCACCCTACCCCAGAMAAWGAGACTATWCCCTATCCYACACAAAAAGACTACCCTATCCCAGACAAAAAGACTTCSCTATCCCAGACARAAAGACTACCCTATCCCAGACAAATGGGCAAAATCCCAGACCTGGAGCTCMRAAAAWGGAACCTATMAAGCGGCACATACCCGTATAGCAAATATAGRGGAGTACCCCATGCAAAGCTAGATATCCTATTGCAGCAAGAATCTCTCGTTGCCTCACTATTAACCATGAGTACAAACCTAAATTAAATTTTAAGTTTATTAATTTTTACCACATTAACTATCATTTTTCTTTCAGCACCATTTTAGTTGAGCCTCACTGCACAGCATGTGTTACCAAGGAGGGAGATGTTCGAATTGAGGTGAGAGGAAAAAAAAAAGCATGGCAATGCTATTCCTACTGGCTTGTATACTAATGATTATTTCATTTTGATTTTTAGATAGGATTACACAAGCATAAATCAAATATAGGAACAGAGCTGGACAGAATCCAGGTGGATTTGGATTTTCTTGCTACCAATAAGAGGACMATTTWTCAAAATTGAGTTTTGTTTGTCCAAATTTAASGAGYGTGTTTGCTYTGSATTCATTACAAGTGATATCTTGTTATACTTTACACAAATAATGGCACATTGTGCTCATGCATTCTTCTTATTTCTTTCATAGTTGGCAATATTTTCGCATCGCTTTATGAGCACAGCGGAGCAGATGGGAAGGTTAGAAAACAAAAATAGTTTAGAACAGTAAATGTATGTTTGCTATCATGCTTCCCCTGACCATATTCTTTCCTTACTTTTTGTCTTCTTTCTTTCAACTTATTCATAGATTCTTTTTGTTCAACCAACCATCCTTGAATTTCATCCTACGTCTGCTTATCACTTGAGTTATTTTCCCATTCATTTGTTCCATTCATTCATTCATCCATTCATTTTCATTCACTTATTTGTTTGCAGAGTATTACAAAGAACATCTATTTCCACCAATATCAAGGCAAGTCAAATTTATAATAATATTATTAAAATAATATTTCACATTTTAAGGATTTTATTATAACCCGTAGTCTCTTCTTACAGCCTTTCCTATTGGCTCATTCCCAAGTTTCTCCCCACTAACTAGTTGGACAGGCCAACTGAYGCCTGCAAGAAGGGACTAAAATCCAATGAYTTAACACATTTTTGAACTATTTTCAACAGGAAAGATTAGACTTTTCATGTGCCATGTTTGGGCCTGATGGGGGCCTGGTAGCTAATGCACCTCATATTCCAGTCCACCTYGGTTCTATGCAAGAAACGGTCCAATATCAAGTAAGTAGATAGTCTTCCCTTGTAAGGCATCACTTTCATTCTCTGTGTTGGGCTTCCTATGCATAAGATAGCTAGAATGGGATTTTGCAGACTATTGCTGGTTTTTATAATGGTTTTTATAATATTTTTTGATAAAAAGTGAGTTTTTTTATCTTAATAAGGTATTTATTATTGTTATATGACAACAGTTTCTTTGGCAATTGCTCCACTTAACTTTATTGACCTATCTTAACTTTCAGATAAGAAACCTTGGTAATGACATTAAAGAAGGTGATGTTATCCTTACTAATCATCCAGTAGCTGGAGGGACGCATCTGCCAGACTTGACAGTTATTACACCAGTAGGTCAAAGCTCTCCTCTCCTCTCCTCTCCTCTCCTCTCCTCTCCTCTTTTCTTTTGCTTTCATAGTCTTGATTATTGTCCATATATGGTTGTTTTTAGGTGTTTTACAAAGGTGAACCAAAGCCTGTGTTTTACGTGGCAAGCCGTGGACACCATGCAGACATTGGAGGGTTAGCACCAGGTATGTAGTACACAGGAATCCCAAGCTGGAAGCATTCCTATTCCCGCCACAGTGAACTGACTAGTTTAATTTTTCTA